TACAGGGCTGGGGCCTGGCCGGGGGGCTGTGGAGATGGGTTGCAGGGCCGGGGCCTGGCTGCGGGGCCGGGCCTATGCTGTGAGGCCAGGACTAGGCTTAGTTGTGGGGCTGAGGGCTCTGCTGGAAGCTGGGCAATGCTGTGGGGCTGGGACTGTGCTGTAGGACCAGGTGCTGGGGTCACCATGTTAGGGCTCCCTGACTGCAGTTCCTCATCCCAGCCCCTCAGCCAGGCACCCAAACATAAAACACACTGTATTTAAAACAGCTCCTCACGCAAAACGTCTACTATGCACTGTGGTGAAGCAGTACAGGCCCTTGCTCAGGAGGTTCCTGGCGTGGCTTCAGGCAGGTTCATTGGTTTGGGGTTTTTGTTCTTTGAACTGGCAGTATAACTGCTGATATCTGGCAAGTGCTCCAATGCGCTCAGGGGGTTCCTCTTCAGAGGATGCGGAACTACAGCTTGTTGCCTTGGAGTGTATTTGTTGGAGGCCGTACACAAAAGGCACCCTCCCCCTCCCCCAGGCTCCAAGGACACTCTGATGTGTGACTTGGGTGGTGTGTCCCTGTCTGTAGCTCTGCTCGAGGCTTACTGAAGGACAGATCTCTCTGTCCCCCAGCAGCTCCGTACTGGTGCTGGTTGGGGCGTGCCTGTGTGCTGGGGCTCTGCCTTGGCTTTGCTCAGCACTGGCTTGCTGAGCGCTTCCATTGCACTGCGGAGGAGGAGAAACCAAGCGTTAAATAACAGATCGCTGGCAAAAGGTTGTGTAACAACCACAGTGGCTGTTCCCTTCTCTTTGTTTGTTTGTTGTGGGGTGATGAGCAGCAGGCGAGTCTGACTTTATCATTACTGGAGAATAACAGGCAATCAAAGTTGAAACTTTTTTTACCCCCTTACAAATCCTGCTATGCAAACCACAGAAGAGGAAGAGGAGGTGTGTGACCCTGTCGCACTTCTGCAAAATGCTGTTGTGAAGTTGTGGCCAGATTGTCTGGGCTTTTGGATGTCTTTGTCCTGGTAAAGCATGAGTGGTCTGAGTGCAGCTGAAGTTGGGGAACACACAGCAGAATGGGGCTTCATCTTTAACAGGGAGTTGATATCGATCTCTGTTAAGCAGCTTTTGGTCACGGGAGGAGTCAGAATGGGTTTCTCTGTGTTGAACCAGACTTATTTGATCTCAAAGGTCTTCTGAGATTTTTAAAAAGTGAAATGCGGTCAGTCTTACCTGAAAGTCCGCAATGAGAAATTAATCTGTCACTGCAGGAACAGCGAAAAGGCCAGATCTATGCTTTGAAGTTCACTCATGTCCCATTTTCACTGAGTTTCCAGCTTCAGAAAAAAAATGTTTCTGTTCTTTCCATCATAAAGTTTCTGTAAGTTGGGAAGGGCACAACTTCCCGATGCTCTGGGTCAACTTTAAACAATCCCTGACAAAGCCAGCAGCTATAAATGCTCATATCCCACTGCCTCTGACTCAGCCGTTACTGAACCGTAGGATTGCTGCCTGCCTACACAGTGATGCACGAGATTTATTGCTATTATTAGCTGACATGCTGCACAAAAGTGGGAGCTATAGGGACATTATGCTCTCCAGAAGCTTCCTGGCCAATTCCTGTAACTTCTCCCTCTGCAACCCTGTCCGCAGGTGCCCTGAGAAGCAATGGCCACAGTGGCTTTCCTGAACTTAGCACCATCTCACTGCTACTTCCCTTCAAGCACAACAGCCATTTTCCTGTGGACAAACGCCGTCAACATGCACGTCACCAGGCCAAAATCTGCCAAGGGACGCACGAGGCCAAGCTTCAATTACTCTCAGAGCGTGGAAGCCTGTCCTTGCCGAGTGCCACCTGCCCCACCACCAGCAGCTCCCCACAAATTAGTGAACAGCCGGAGAGCATCGTCCAGAAAACTGGCATTCCCATCCGGCCAGGTGTCTCCCAAGGAAATCCCAGAGCTCCTGCAGCAAGTGCCTTTGAGGACCTCCTCTTCCCTGAACAAGTACAGGGTGCTCCCCTCCATCGGCCAGAAGGGCGTGGGGAGCGGGGCTGTGGAAGCGGTAGCCGAACAGACCGACCGGCTGAAAGTGAGGGGGGCGGAGGAGGACGCTCAGAAAACCAAAACTCTTTCTGGAGAACAAGGATCTGCCAGCCTATTGTCGGAAAGCGATGTCCCTGATGCAGAAGGCTCACACGCGCAGAGCCCTCCTGAAAAGCCAGGAAGGAAAATGGGACAAGAGAGCCCTTCGACAACGACTTTAAGTTTGGAAAACTTGGAAAAGCCGCCAAAAGAAGAGTCGCACTTGCTGCTCGCTATTCGATCTCCCTCTGGTCAGAGATTTGAACATCATTTCAAGCCCACCGACAGTCTCCAGATGGTCCTTGCTGTGGCAGAACAGAAAATGTCGGCCAAATACAAACACTGCAGTGTTGAAACGATGGAGGTGCCCCGAAGGAGTTTCTCTGACCTCACGAGGTCCATCCACGAATGTGGGATTCTCCACAAGTCCGTGCTGTGCATCCGACAGGAAGAGCAGCATGACGCGGATCTTTAGGCGTGCAGAGACACCGCCACGCCGCCGTGGGTTGTTCTGCTGAGCGGGATGTATTACTTCTTCCAAAAAACTGACATTCTGATGTTTCCTGGGCCTCCTCCTACTTATTCATCTTGTCATCTTCCAAGAATTCCCCTTGAAGCCGACTTGTGTCTATGTGTATTGCAGGTGCAGTACGTGCTACGTAGATAGCTGCTTTTTTCACGTGTGCCATCACAAATTGCTTCCTGAGCACCACCAACTTTTGGCCTTTTGGGTTTTTTTTTTGAAATTGCTGATGTTCTGCGAAGACTGACGTTTCCAAGACCTCTCCCCTTGTGCTTTTCCACATTTCAGGAAGGTACCGCTTCCCAGAGCGGATCTGGAATCAGAGCTACCTGTTTGGGAAGGTAGAAACAGAACTGTTTTACTCTGGAGGACCATCTTCAGCAGGTTATCATCATCCTAAACATCTTCTCAAGAGTGACTGAAAAGGAGATCAAACCTGAAAACCATCTGGAAAGAACAGTAATATCATGTTAACCCGAGAGGGCTCGGCTCTTTCTGGATAACCTCAGTGCAGCTTTTAAGAGTGTGACCACATCACTGTTTTAAGAACAAATATTTATTATTTTGGCTGTACTGGTGAGCGGCAGGATTTTCTACTTATTTTTCCTTTTCTCATTCAACTCGCGTGATCCATAGATAAGAATAGTTGGATAGTTAAGCTGGGATGTTACCAAACACTTTTACACTGAAATGAGTCAGTCCGAGAAAGCAAGTGCTGCTTTCAGAATTCTTAAATAAGAATTTATAAGAATATAAATAAAAATATATTAATTGGATGTGACTGAGGAATTGGCTCAGGCAGTAGACTGTATTTTACTAAACCGTCATTAAAAATGGCTGGTAGGGTAACTTGGCAGGTTTTATATAGACACTATGTGCTTGTGCTAAAAAAAAAAAGATGTAGGTTGGAAATTCTTATGGTTCAAAGGCAATAATTCAATCTACTCAAAAAGTGGACCATTTGCCATGCTAGTTTAAATATTTTGAGGTGAACCAAACAGTTTTTAACGTCAGTGTAATTGCCAAACCAACTCGGAACAGTACTAGTAGTGGATGGCTGATCCTGGTGTTGACCGAGCGTAGCATCTCCTTCTAAAGCACGTCTTGGGGGTCCAGCACCTTTACAAAAACAGTACCTGATGAAATGGTGTTACATGCTACTGCGGGCGAAGGTAATTGCACAGTAGCAGTCCCTGTCTTCAGGGACACCAGGATATCAAAACATACGGGCGCTTTTAATCAGACCTCAGTGGGGAGCACAGTATTTTGCTTAGTTCCAGGACAGGAACCATTTTCTGTGTTTCAGTCAGCATTAAGTGATTTTGTGTATGCTGTTACTCCTAAGCTTCAGAGTGTTTTCATACTGTGTGGTAGGACAACCAATAAAACCTTCTAGGTGGAAACTTGAAGTTAAAATGATTTCTGTGAACTGGAGGTTTAGCCATCACCATCTCCTCTTAAACAAGAAATGCCGTTATTTTGACAGCAAATGTCTTGGGGACTGCCCAAACCAGTCTTTGGCTGGTCAGCTGCCGCCCACACCATCTTGCCTGTGCCTTCGCACTTTGTATCTCTGCGCTGTATTAAATACAGGGTCCCAGCAAAGAAGGAAACCCCTTGCATCAGTGACTGTCCGCTGCTAACCACAGAGACACGGTGACTGCCACGCAGCTCTGAGAGCGTACAGGGGCTGAAGCTTTAACCAACAGCAGAACAAAAGTAACCTGGATCACAGTGGCCAGCACTTCTCATGCTGGAGGATATTCCTCCCGAGTATCTCCATCTAAGATACAGCTGAATGAAGAGAGCTTAGTTCTTTGACTCATGCAGGCTACAGCCATCTCCAAAGATGTGCACTTTAATTATTTCCTTTTCTAAAAACCACATCAAGTCTTGATCTGTGCAAGCACAGTGCAGGGAAGACACCTCCTTTCTCTCCCCGTTCTCCTTCTCTTCCCTTCCAAAGTCTCACAGTGTGCATGCAGGGGAGTTCTTAGCAGCAATTGCTCAGTCCAGCACAAGAAACACTATGGGGGGAAGAACAGTATTTATCTGACCTCACTTACTGTGTGGTATCATTTAACGAGCTTCCTTGTGGAAACTCTTAAAAAGAATTTCAGAATTTCAGCATTAAATCAGGTGAAGTTCAGTCTGTCACAGGATGCTTTGAGAAGATCATAAATAGAAAACTCACCAGGACTCCAGGCTAGGAACGTCCTCACCTGAGGCTTTCAAACAACAAAGTATTCACGCAAGAAATTAGCGGAGGCATCGTTCAGTATGTGTTCTTTATTCCAATTAAAAGTACATTAGAAACAGCACACAGGACCAGCAGCAGCTTTCATGACAATTCAACCCAGTACTCTGCTGTCACGAGGTCATTCAGCTGTACTATTAAAGTAGGTGATTGAAACAAGTCTTCCACTCGACACGCAAGCACTCACTCACCTGCCACTTTAAATAGGTTTCCAACAGAATAAAAATAGATACACCCCAGAATACAAAAAGTTTAATTTTAACAGTTGGTTTTTTTTTTCACTAAAGCCTTTATACAAATTGATAAAAGGGTGCACAATTTCCTAAAATTTTAGGTACATTTTAAATGAGCCTTTTTTTACTTGGTAAAAGGATCCATGTTCCTGTCGTTGAACAGAATATGATGGCCAAAATTGCAAAGAAAATTCTTAGTTAAATTTACAATTTATACATTTGTTTTTAAGTGATTCCTGCACCGAGTAGCAGGCCGATGGCTGCCCACGCATGTCCCATTTTCCCCAAAAAGAGCTGTGCACCCTAAGTTCTAGTTCAGGAGCTGCCTCCTCCTGGAAACCGGGCTGGGGGAACAACCCACAGGCTTTCAGTTGTGCGCACGAGGATGGTCCCAGCCGAACTAAAGACCCGAGCACAGAAGTTGCAAATCAATCCTTCTCCGGCAAGGATCACCCTGGGGCGAGGGACTCATGACCTGTTTTGCACTATGAGCACAATGAAAGTGGAACGCTTCCCGTCTGCAATTCGGCTGAGCAATTTAACTCAAAACTCTGGTACTGAAACATACTGTAGCAGGGAAATTTGGTGTCCTAAAGGTATTTTTTTTGGTCAATACAATCTATCATTTCTTTTCCTTTATTCCTACTACTGATTAGTGAAGCCCAGCAGTTCTGTACACTATTCACGCTGAGCTTCACAGCAGCATCTTAGAACTGGCACCACCTGCTTAAGGTGACCGACCCCCACTCCAACAGGCATTAGTATTTTATGGAGGTGAATTTACTCAGAAAATTAATTAGTACAGTTCCCTTCATACTGCCCCTCTCTCCACACCCCACCCACCTCTACCTTGGTGAGGTTAAACACTTTGGATGAACTTCTAGAGCATGTACTTAAGCACTGTCACCACGGCACCGCTTTACGTAGAGTGGCCAGTCTAACGAACCAAGGACAAATTAAAAGAAAATACTGCCCAGCAAAAGCAACACGGCACCTGTGTTTGCGCATATGAGCTACTGGAGACATCCTCAGGACAACTTACATAAGGAAAAGCAGGGCAAATCCATCAGGAAGCCAGAAATGAGTCTCAAAGAGCTCAGGGGAGCGCCAAAGAGAATGACGTCCTATTTTGTACAAGTTGAGTACTTAGCCAAAAACCAGCTGCCTTGTTTGGATTTTTTTGTGGTTTTTTTTTTTCTTTGTGTTTCTTTTTTTTTTCTTTACAATGTCTATTATATATTCAGCTGTTGAATTTTAACTGATCAGGGTAATGCTGAACTTCATTCCAATTAAAGGCAATAAAGCTTTTTTATTTTTAAGATTTGTTTTAGATAATTACATACTGCCCATTTTTTAGCAAGTGTGTTTCTTAGATTTCAGAAGATCTTCCCGTTTTAAGGCTAAACTAAGAAATGTCAAAAGCTTCTGTAAACATTTCCTCTTCCTCCCCATAGTTGCACAATTTGAAGTCCAACTGCAATTTTTAAAATGAGGTAATTTTTGTGTACTCATATCTTAAAGAGTCCTGTCGGGACTAGCTGAGAGGCGTGCCAATCTGAACGCTGATCCAATTGTAGTGGGAGAGCTTCCACAGCAGGGTCCACACCAGTTCCAGCAGCTGTTCTTCAGTTAGTTATCTTCTCAATTTCATCCAAGTCGTCAGTATCCAATTTGTTTATCTTTTTGTCTGGGAAAGATGAGAGATAAGTCAGATTTCGTAACACAGAACAGAGAAGGGAAAGCTGCTTTCTTTAGCTGGTCTTGAGGAGTTCAGGTTTATCCATGAAACATTCAGTCAGGTTTTAAAACTACAACATAAAACTTTATTCTTTTATTAAAGGCACATCAGGATACTCAAACGTTCCCCGTCTCTGGGACATCCATTTTAAGGACTATCTAGGTAGCCAGCAGACGACTGATTTCTGCTCCTATCATATGTAGCAGTTCACAATCCTAAGTGACATCACACAAAATGCAGCTGATGTGCTCTTCTGCGGTCAGTTTAAGGCTTGACAAATACCCATGAGATCTGGGTATCTGACTAGCTCAGTATACAGCTAGTCAAAATTCTGCAGAAATAACATCTAATTTTAGAGAAAGTCTGTGGGTACATACTGAAATGTTCTTGGATTCTGTTGAGAATATTCATGCTGTGCTTGCTGTCCACCATGTTAATAGCCAGTCCCCGCTTCCCAAAGCGACCTGTACGTCCAATCCGGTGCAGATAAGTCTCATTATCTGGATTTCCATCTTTATCCACAGGGAGGTCAAAATTGATAACAACAGAGACTTGCTCTACGTCGATCCCTGATAAAAAGAAAGTGTCAGATTACAGAACTACATTCAAACCACTTTATAGCGGGAACAGCCTCCTCTGGCCTGACCTGCACGTGGTTTGGGCACCACATCCAGGTCACCCAACAGCTTTCAGAGAGCTGCCACATGGCTGCCTCCGCTTCGAG